TAGTACAGACAGAACCTTCAGAGTAATTAACAGACAATGTGCTTTCCCTCTCCGGTTTCAGCAGGACTGTCAGTGAAGTGCACAGTGCACTTCTGGGCAGAGCTGTCATATTACCCCACAGGGAGAATCTCGTTTTTATGAATAATCTACCACTTTGTTTTCTCATACGGTTGGCTCTGCATATCTATGGGTTCTGCATTCATGGAGTCAACCACTGCAGATGGCAAGTATTTGGAAGAAATGTAGGAATATATCTGCGTCCATCACGTACAGACGTCTTCCCATCTTGTTATTCCCTGAACAATACAGTTAACAACTGTTTACATACATTCACATAGCATAGGAATTATAAGTAATCTAGAGATGATTAAAGTATGCAGAAGGATGTATGCAGGTTATATACGGGATTTTGATATTGGTAGGGGTAGAGCCTGGCCACAGACATACACACACATATATCTTCTTTTTTTTTTCATTTACAGGAAGAGAACTTGGAAAAGCTGCCACAGTTCGTTACTTGTAACTCCACTGATCAAAGCTAACATTATCTTAAATTAGCACTTTTTAGAGTATGGGATGGGGAACCCTCTCAGGATCCCTGAACCTCTTCTGGGATCTATATTTTCAAATTAACACTATTTACTTTTTCCACTCTCTTCGTCTCAAGAATACACAGGCTATGTGTGATGACATCATCGCTCCATGGAACGTGTGCTTGTACAGTCCAGAGCTTTAACAATTGCTCCCTTTTAATTTCTCAAATGGTGAATGTGAATGGATATAAGTCACATAAACAAAGATCTCTGGGACCTTCAGTAACTTTTAAGAGTAGAAAGAGAACCTGAGACAAAAACATGTGAGAATCTCTGAACTAGATGATGGTCGAGTGACGTTTTGGGTAATAATCTTGTACATCAAGAGTACCAGAGAAATAGTGAAAAATGGACACTGTCTAATTTATATGTTTTTTAAGATCTCTGAGGAAACCCATTTATTGAATAGGTATTCAGTAAGCTTAAACATTAGTACTATAAATTGGAATGCAAAGGAAATACAGGACAGGATCCATATCCTGTAGGTATTACAGGTGTGATACTAGGTACTGCACATATTAAATATGTAACAGAGCAGTCCTGCATGTTCAGGCATCAAGTCAATGGTACAGGAGATACCTGCTGCAGAGACCAAAGGGAGAGACAGGTGGACCCGGACCGGGAGGGAAATGGGAGGAGTCAGACCCTGGTGATGCAGACAGCATAGAGCTGGAAAAGCAGGAGCAGGTCATTAATGTTCTTAGACAGTGGGATACAAATCCTGTTCTTTATTCTCTGTTTAAATGGTAGTCTCTGCATGTTTCAGGACACTGAATGTGTGGGTGTTTGTTGGAGTGAGAGGGAAGAGGATGGAACAGCAGTGAACAGGCTGGGGTGGGAGGTTGTGAAAATGGAGGTTTGAGCTGATAAGGACCTAAACTAAGCTGGGATGAAAAAGGATGGACTAAAAAGAGAAAAGAAGGCTTTCCTCTTTCTGCTAGCTTGGGGCCTGCGGAGGTCTGCTGGGAACAGGACTTCTAAAAGGCAAGTATGTCTGGATGGCTGTGGTCCGAGGCCAGTTTTGCTGTCTATAAGTGGAGTGTCCAGAACCAAAGAGAGCACATAGCTCTCCTTAAAATTGCAGGTGTTTATGCCTGAGGTGAAACTGAATTCTATCTGGGCAAGAGATATGCTTATGTACACAAAGCATAGAACAACACAGTGACTCCTGGCGGCAAACTGAACAAAGCCAGGGTAATCTGGGGAGAGGGAACTCAGCCCGCCAGGGTAATCTGGGGAGAGGGAACTCAGCCCGTGGAAACAGGGGCGTGGTTCATGCCAAATTCTGAAGCAACCGTCCTGCTAAGGCCATTGGACACAGAATCTGTGTGGTGTTCTACCCCTCAAGGATTGACACTGATGAAAAGTAAATAAAAGTGGATTGGTGCCCTTGTATTTTTATTAAGAGGTGTTAAAAAACTTATTGCCTTAAAGAAAAAAGAGAGAGAGAGATGAGAAGAGTTAATAGAATTTGTAGCTAGGCTCAAAAAGTGAACCTTGGCTCAGTGCCTGCAGCACAGTGGTTACAATGCCAGCCACATACACTGAGACTGGAGGGTTTGAACCTGGCCTGGGCCAGCTAAACAACCATGACAACTGCAACAACAAAAAATAGCTGGGCGTTGTGGTGAGCGCCTGTAGTCCCAGCTACTTGGGAAGCTTTCCTCTTTCTGCTATCTTGGGGCCTGTGGAGGCAAGAGAATTGCTTGAGCTTCAAAGGAGTTTGAGGTTGCTGTGAGCTGTGAAGCCACAGTATTCTACCGAGGGTGATATAAAAGGACTCTCTCAAAAAAAAAAAAAAAAAGTGAACTTCATGTTTACTGAATGGTGACTAGCTAATAGGGAATGAAGGAGGGGGAAGATTCCATACATGTTGCATTTGAACTGAGTGAGAAATACCACGTCTTAAAGGCAATTGGAAGTATAGGACCAAATATTAGGTCATCTGGGACTAGGGGGAGAGATTTGCGTCCTCAGTAAGTAAAGCTACAACTACATTAGTTCACTGTGACAAACAGCCTGGAGGGAAGAGGACAAAGAGCCGAGGATGCAGGCTAGTCCTGGGAAACTTTAAGTGTGCAGGAAAACTGGAAAATGAGAATATGATGGATAGTAGAAACTGAGGATATGCAGTATGAACTTGATTTATCAAAAAGTCCCTTCAGGTTTGGCGCCCATAGCACAGTGGTTACAGTGCCAGCCACATGCACTGAGGCTGGCGGGTTCAAACCTGGCCCAGGCCAGCTGAACAACAATGACAACCACAACAAAAATAGCTGGGCATTGTGGTGGGGACCTATAGTCCCTGCTACTTGGGAGGCTGAGGCAAGAGAATCACTTTAGCCCAAGAGTTGGAGGTTGCTGTGAGCTGTGACACACAGCACTCTACCGAGGGTGACTTAGTAAGACTCCATCTCAAAGAAAAAAAATGCCTTCATAACATGCAAAGATGAACTTTAAATAGCACACTGCTAAGCAGGGAATAGACAGTCCTTAAGAGATGCCAGCTGTATACATCTATTTGTTAGTTCAGAACGAGAAAACAGGAAAGAGAGGAAGGAAACTTTAGCTAAAGAATTAACGAACTATCAGATGAAAGCTGTGCTTTAGTCTTCACCCCCTCCCTGAATTTCAAAAAAGACTCGTAAGTGTGATACTAGAAGGGAAAAAAGCTAAGAGAGAAAAAGACCAAATATTTCAGAGGAGGGCAGAACCACGGGGAAAATGAATTCTTTCAGGAGTCAGGAAAGAAAACTATATAGAATACAGGAGAAAATACTCTTGAAAGGTGGAGTCCCACTTCACTTGCATCTTAATGGAGTGCTTTACTCCCGGAAGGGGAGCCATTCTCCTTCCTAGAGATGGGTCATGCAAGACCATCTCCAAGGCAGACTGGAGATGCCGGCAATCTTAACGTCATGGCAAGGGCAGGCTAACTGAAGGCTTGTGGAAACTGTTGGTAATGTCACAGATAAACATTTTAAAATTACGCAAAGCAATAAGGAAGTCTCTGTAGAAGGTGATTCACTTCACTCAGAAGATTCTCTTAACACATTGCTGAATACAGATGTGCTGGGTGTGTATGGCTTGAGGGTGCCACATCTGAGGGGGCACTCAGGACACTTAGAAGTGAATATACATTTGGCTAGTTTTCAGCAGAAGGCAATGCAGTACCTTAAGGGGAGGTGCTTTTTTCTAATTTGCATGTACGCAAACACACACACACACACACACACACACACACACACACACACACGATGGGCTTCTGAGAGCCCTGATAGAGAGGCAGCTTAAAAGTCTTAGCCAGGATAGGGCACGATAGCTTCACTCTGGGAGGCTGAGGTGGGTGGATTGTTCAAGCTCAGATGTCTGAGATCAGCCTGAGCAAGAGCAAGACCCCATCTCTACTAAAAATAGAAAAACTAGTTGGGCATTGTGGCAGGCACCTGTATACCCAGCTACTCAGGAGGCAGAGGCAAGAGCCTTGCTTGAACTCAGGAGTTTGAGGTTGCTGTGAGCTATGATGCCATGGCACGCTACCCAGGATGACAGAGTGAGACTCTGTCTTAAAAAAAAAAAGTCTTAGCCAGAATTTAAATATAGGTCCAATAAAAGAAAAGGCACAATTCATCCCTATGGGAGATGCACTCTTTATTCTCCTCTGCTTCCAATTTGATGCATTTAGCGTTTATTAAATAGCTACCATTTGCCAGGTGCTCTACACTACCAAAAAGAACAGGACATAGTTTCTACCTTCAAGGAGTTTAAGTACAGGCTGGTAAGGCAGAGAGGTAAGGTCGCTAACAATTCACACAACATAGTAAGTGCCGTAGGGGAGCAAAGCATACAATACTGAAAAGCCACAGAAAACAAATGCAACCCTACTTAACTCCCAGGCAAAGGTTTCTAAGAAAAGTTTGAGGGTTGAGTAGAGTCTTGAAGGATGTACGGGAATTGGCAAGGCAAAAGAGCAGAGTACAGCTTGGAGATTTTAAGTATAAGTCATCTCTGGGGTAATTAATTCTGGCAGCTTTATGTGGCTGGTGAGGAGGACAGGTCCAGGAATGAAGCAAAAAACAAAGTGAAAGATGTAGTTAGCGGCCAGTGAATGACAAGTACCATGGCAAGAATGTAATGGGCTTTATCCTAAAGGCAATGGGGGAACTACTGAAGATTTAAAATAGGCTTGTGATAATCAGATGTGCATTGTAGCAAAATCACACCAACAAGAGATGCACTGGAACAGAGAGCATCAACAGCAGGTTTCTTTGACACCCCCCCCCCCAATCTGGGGGTCTGCTTTTGGCACTGGAAATTAAGACTGGGGAGAAATGCTATAAGGTAGAACTGTCAGGATCTGATGACCGGCTGGATGTGAATGTGACACAGAGGGGTCTAGGATGACTCGCAAGCAGGACCAGCTATATCCCATTTGTGGGATCAAAGGGAAAAAGAAAACGTGAGACTCCCTGTTCAAAACCAAGCGCAGGACACCAGAGCAGCACACGGAGTGTGGTTCTTCTGAGCACTCTCAAGCTGGTCCAGATCCTAAGATTCTGGCGAGGTTATCTGAGCAATGGATGGTTGTAACCCTTTCAATAGTGACCATGACACAGTCTGATTCTGAACATTTTTGAGTTTGAGGTCCCTAATGACAATTCGGTTAAATTCAGGACTGGAGACATCACAGCACGCATGTGAAGAGGAGACTGTAGAATGGATCCCATTGCCCAGAGTTTGTGTAAAGCAAAAATAGAAGCTCAGAGTATCAATAGGCATGATGCGGATGGGAAAATCTCATCTAAAACAGAAGCTGATACACTAGGCGGGAACTCAGGAAGGCCAGGGACCATCTGAATCTTAACTGTAAGCAGCTTGGACCGGCCCTTTGAGTTCCCTCCTTCCTTTACGCTGTATTTTGCTGTAACTGATCTGCAGCTTGCCTGTTGTCCTTATTTTCCTGCACTTGTCTGTCTGTTTAACTTTAAGCTCCTCGAAGGCATGTTTCATGTCTTCTATTTTTTTATGTCCCTCAGAATGAGTCTCTGGTGACATGTATCTAATAGGTCTCTAGCAGTTAATTACCAAAGCAAATCTTTCCAAAGCTCAAACAGAAGGTTGGCAACTTGGCTCATTTTTTCAACAATGTTGAAGAACGAGACTATTTCATGAGAAACTATCATATCATAGTTTTTCAAAGGAAAACAGAAGTTAGGAAGAACTTTTAAACCATTTTAAGTTACAAGTTTACAAGGCAGGTCAAGAAACCATCAGTTTTATACTGGCGAATAAATCTCCACAAACTAAAGTAAAAGGGACACCTGGGATGTGTGCAAGTCCCAGATGGCACAAACCGAGAAGCGTCCACAAGCTGACACCCAGGGAACAGCTGACCACTGCGCGGCTGCCGTCAGCGGAGCCTCCCGGCCGGGGCTGAGGTTATTTTTATCCGCATCAGGCTGGCAGCTGAGCGGGGCACGTCCCAGCTTAGGCTACGGGCTGGCACGGCCGCCTGCCGGCCCCTCTGGACAGAGACCCTGCTCCTCTCGGCTGGGGGGCAGCCAGGCCCGGCAGAGGGCCGCAGCGGGCTCCGCGCCTCCGGCCGGAGCTGCCCCGGGTCCCGCC